TAAGGAAATCAGGGTGAATCTCATCCACTCCAGGAGCCCTGCCGCCTTGGAGCGTTTTAACTACCTCGGCGACTTCAGCCACAGTTATGGATGGATCAACCCCAAAGTCTCCCGACTCAGCTCCCTCCATGGAAGACATGCTGGTGGGATGGAGAAGGTCTGAGAAGTATTCCTTCCACCTCCCGACAACATCACTGGTTGAGGTCAACAGTAGTCCACCTTCACTGAATACAGTGTTAGTAAAGTGCTGCTTTCCCCTCCTCAGCCATCTGATGGTTTGCCAGAATCTCCTCAGAGCTGATCGAGGGTCATTATCCAAGGTTTCACCAAACTCCTCCCACATCCAAACTTTTGCCTCAGAAACAGCCAAGGCTGTGGATCACTTGGCCCTCCAGTACTCCTCAACTGCCTCCGGAGTCCTACTAGCCAACAAGGCCCAATAGGACTCATTCTTCAGCTTGACAGCCTCCCTAACCCAGGGTGTCCACCACTGAGTTTGTGGATGGCCACCACGAGAAGCAGCGACAACCTTGCGGCCACCTCAACAAGTGAGGAGCGGAACATGGCCCACTCAGACTCAATGTCCCCCACCTCAGCTGGGATGTGGTTAAAGCTCTCCCAGAGGTGCGAGTTGAAGATCTCTCTGACGGGTTCTTCTGCCAGACGTTCCCAGCAAACTCTCACTACATGTTTGGGTCTACCAGGTCTGTCCGGCATCTTCCCCCGACATCTGATCCAACTCACTACCAGGCGGTGATCAGTTGACAGTTCAGCTCCTCTCTTCACCAGAGTATCCAAAACAAATGGCCGCAAATCAGATGGCACGACTATGATGTCTATTGTCGATCTACGACCTAGGGCGTCCTGGTGCCAAGTGCACTTATGGACATCCTTATGTTCGAACATCGTGTTTGTGATGGACAAACTATGACTAGCACAGAAGTCCAACAACAGAACACCGCTCGGGTTCAGATCAGAGAGGCCGTTCCTCCCAATCACGCCCCTCGAGGTCACACTGTCATTACCCACGTGGGCCTTGAAGTCCCCCAGCAGAATAAAGGAGTACCCAGCTGGCACACCTTCCAGCACCCCTGCCAAGGACTCCAAGAAGGCCAGATACTCTGAACCGCCGTTTGGTGCATAGTCACAGACAACTGTCAGAGCCCGTCCCCCCACCCGAAGGCGAATGGAAGCCACCCTCTCATCTTCCAGGGAAAACTTCAACACACAGGCACCAAGTCGGGGGCTACAAGTAGTAGACCCAGACCAGCTCGACACCTCTCACCATGGGCAACTCCAGAGTGGAATAAGGTCCAGCCCCTTCAAGAAGATCGGTTCCAGAGCCCATGCTGTGCGTTGAGGTGAGCCCAACTATATCTAGTTGGTACTTCTCAACCTCACACACAAGCTCAGGCTCCTTCCCCACCAGAGAGGTCACCCCGATAGTCGCTAAATGCTTCGAAAAACTGGTCATGACTCACATCAAAACAACCATCAACATCAACGAA